ACTCTTATTGGCATGTTATCTCATAAATATACGCAGGTATATCGGCTTGTTTGTGTGTTGCCTCGCGCGCGTTCACGTGTAGGCAATCTGTTTAGGCTGATCAACTGCAACATATGACACAAAATGGAACCCTGGTCGACAACGTACAATGGAGAACTTAACTTATTATGCACACTGGTTTTCACGAACACACAGTCACACACAGCTGTTTGTCATATCTGACGCGTGATGACAAACCAAACTATTGTTAGGGGGAGTTAGCGGTCGGTGCCCTCATCGTCAAAGATGACAGCAGTACACTGGCGCTTCAGTGTATTTCTACCCCAGAACAATAGCACCCCGTGAATAGAGAGGAGTCTTGTATCGCTGTGCAGAATTATCAAAACATGGTGCCTAAAGTTTTCAACGGTAATGAATGAAACACGTTTGTACATGCTTCAGTAAGATGCCTTCAGCTTGATTGACTAAGTATACATTGCAAACCTTACACGGCACGAGCTGGCACACGAGAGACAAACTCAGTTGGGTAGTGTAGCTCGCCACTGGATTCGGTTTCAATTCCTGTAGGGTTTCTAAATGCGTGCAATGAGAATCACGTGCATGAGAATCATGGACCGCAACTAGGAAAGAGCATAAATTCCATGGTATTCCATTTAACTCTACGCTTCTTCATTTCGCGTGTCCTGACTCGCATCCAGCAAGAATTTGAAACGGAGAACAATGCTTTCTGTGGTATACCTTGGTTGGACATGCGTAGCACATGTCTCAGCGCTTAGCTGACTTGAACGCACCGGCTTGGGGGTGTTTGGAGTATTCACATCGGAGATGCGGACTTTCGTGACCACGTCGTCACAAATACCACAAGCTACCAAGCATCGCTCATTTTGCGATAATGTATGTACTGGCTTCCTCTGTCACAACACTCTTGCAAGACAAATACTTAGGTGTTTGAACAACCTCCGTACTCTGTTTTTGTTTCAGGCGACTGGTACAAAACGCGGCAGGTTGTAGTACTATCCACTGTGCATTCTCCTAAGCTTGACAACAGACTTTTGATTGGTTGTACACCTCCAGATAGAGTGGGTGTCGAGGCTTGAGGACTGATCTGGAGATTCCTGAAGATGTCGGCACCATGTGACGAGCAGATGCTGCACGCAAAACCGATGCATGACGAACGGAGTCATCAGTCCTAAGTGCTGGGCCTACAAGGAGAGAGTTATTAATGGGGTGGGGAGAGGGGGAAGAAAAAGTATGTGAAGGAGAAAGAAGGGAGGCGTCAGCAGTAGCCTGTTTTCGCTTACCCGCCCTGCTGTATGCAGCAAGTAAGGCGACCCAGCTGATGGCACCACGCGACGGCCGATGTGGCATGAGAATATTGTTAGGTGTGTGGGTCATGGTTGTACGAGGGCTGGGATACTGACAGGGCGCCCACACCTAGACAGGAGGACAATTAGGGTCCTCAACCAAAGCCTTTGGCTCAAAAGCATAACCGCAAGACAGCGGTGTTTGGCGGGGAAATGCAAATGCATTACCTTTTCTACGGAACAAGTCGCCATACACGTTCCAACCCCCAACCTGGAGGGCCAGGAGACTGTGTTCCAGGTAGGGGCCACGAGATCCTCACTGCGACTGGCGGGAGACATTGCAAGGTATGGTTGCTGATCAATGCTAAATGTGTTCTTGTCAGTTTCTACTTAGATTGTCTGATTGAGCGTATGGAGGTGTAGGCACCTCGGAATGACTGCGGTAAGCTACAAATAAGTCCTTTTTCCGTCTACCTTTATTCCTTCCCTCATACTAAGGCTTCTGGATAAATCACGCTGCACGACAGCGGAGCATTAGTGTTGAACACCGACGTCATGCTGTCCATGATGATCACACAACTGGAGAAGTCGCTCACAGCCGTCTGTACCGTCTGTCTCCTGCAAGGATCACAATGTCAGTGCGTCTTGCTTGACGAATGAGCCCGGATAACTCTCGATAGAGTGCCCGTCCTGGCGTCACAACTTCAGCTCGTTGGGGTACACGCCGACACTACAAACGTGCACCGTATTGTTAGGACGGTCAGTTCCTAATGAACCATTCGATCTTCATTAATATTTAGTTAACATTTCATTTCACCTCTGTTGTAGCCAACTTAGCCACAGCTCTATTATTTGAACTGGTTCATCCTCAATAGAGCCTGTCTACATCCGGTCTTCCTTGTCTTATTTCTTGTGATTCACCCACTCAAATACTTAGACTACAACCACCTAGTTACCACACAGTCACAAGACATTTTTACGTGGTGTTGATTTCGATTGAGCTATATAACTGGAAGGTGCAAAGACCAATGTTCACTGGAATCCAATCCAGCAATGTGCTGAGCTCTGTGGCCAAACGGAATTCCCATGTCTATGACCATCGCTTCTGGATCGCCGGACACATGGAGGGAGAAATGTGGAAGCGGTGAGTTCGTTCTTGCTGTTTGGAGATGCACAATCCCAGTTGAGTCTTGCGTGCGTGATTTAGAGACAGACCACATATTGATTCAGCGAACGTTAATTATTTGCCAATTTGATGGGAGCACGGACGTTGAAAGCTTTTATGTAGAAAGGATGCAGCGGATTTTGCAAGGTGTTCTGTTGACCGTGCATAAGGCGCATCGGTCAAACAACCGACAATTAAGAAAACAAGTTTTGTCTATTTGGTGAGGACGAGTCATGGAGGGACATCAGTAGAGAAATAACTTNCTTGTCGATCTGGAATACGCAGATGACATCATTGTCATTCCCAAGAGGAAGAGAAGGCGCAGATGTTTTTGGATGAACTGACCGAAGTCATCCTGTCCTTTGGTGTGCACTTTGCACCCACAAGTGGTAAGGTCATGCTCCTGGACATGCAGTCACTGAACACATCACTTACAATCCAGAGGAAGCACTCGAAGTTGTGGAGCGTTTTACGTATCTTGGAAGTTGTATTAGTTCTGACTGTAGTGTGACAGATGAGATGAATGCACGAATCTGCAAGGCTGGGGTCGCGTATGCTAATTTGAGACACCTATGGCATCAGAGTGGTGTATCCCTGAATCTCCAGGAACATGTGTAACAAGCTGCAGTGCGGACTGTTTTGTTCTATGGTTGTCAGACTTGGCCTATTCGAGCGGCGGAACTAAGACGCCTTCGGGGGCTCGACAACCGATGTCTCAGAACCATAGCTCGGCGTATTCGTAACGAGGCAGTTAGGAAGCGAGTTTTTGGTTTTGCAACGGGTACCTCCATTGAAGAATGTGTCTAGCAGCAGAAGCCGCGTTGGTTGGGACATGTGTTACGTACGCCTAACCGTTGCTTGCCCGAAGAAAGCGCTGTTTTCCATGCCCAACTCAGAGTGGCGTAAACAGAAAGGTGGTCAACTCTGGACTTGGCAGAGGAGTATGAAGGAGATCACGAAACGCTTGGGTTCTGTCGATGCTACTCGCCTTCCAGGATGGCGACCGTGTGATCTTCACTGTGCCTGGTTGGAGACACTTAAGAATATGGCTGCCAACCGATGTCAGTGGCGTTCTTGTTGTCAGTTTCTATCCAGATTGCCTGAGTGAATGTCTGGAGGTGTAGGCACCCCGTTATGCTTGTGACAAACTAGTAGTAAGTTCCTTCCCCGTCCGCCTTTATTATTTTCTTCACAATAAGGCTTTCAAATAACAGCTTTCAAACACCAGTGAAACATCGGTGTTGATGTGACGTCATACTGTCGATGATGATGGCGACAATATTCGTCATAAATTAGCTTGCAGCGATTTTGATGGCGAAAGATCCCTGGATTCTGTGTGGTAGCTGGGGAGTTAATCTCTGACACCAGTCATCAAAGGTCGCTTCGTTAGTGACATGTCTATTCAACCAATGACCATGCACTCCAATCACAGGTGTTGAAATGTGCTACTGTGTGTCGAGGGACTTCTAAGAATAAATTCTCTTTCTGATTAGTGATGGAACAGTAGTGGATGCATTTAAACAATCCTCGCTTCTAAATCCTGCTTGCAAGCCCTGCCTCCTAGATTTGTCAGAATCGATCAGCATGTCACGCAACGTGGGAATGGTAAGTTGGTTGGAAAAGGGTTTAGAAAGTCACCTGCATGTCACCGTCATGCGACAGATCCTAACATATCCACCGGATGAGACCCCGCGCTTTCTAAAACTTTCGGTAAGTGTTAGCGCTCAAGAATTATACAACACATACGCATTTAGAAGCGGTCACATGCGCCATTACTCATACTGCTATTATGTACTACTTGTGTGAATTACCCACTTGCTCATCTATATCCCCATTGAATACACATTTGTGTCCTGTATCCGTTTTAGAAAGTACAAAGATATGAAGGGACCGTACTACTTCCCCCTCGCATGGATTGCCGAGGTAGGTTCATGCTTCCACTCTTCAAAACAGATTTCTCTCGTATCCCTCCGAAAACAGTGACCCTTTACCCTCTCCGCACCAATGGGTCCTTGTGTTACAAACAAAACGACATCAGAGTGACGCATACTGCTAGACCATCGAATTAGATAAAACAAAGTTGGAGCTTGGTTTATACAGAGTACTGTTGATTTTAAAAAAAACATTAGCTTAAAATGATAAACAAACCTGGATGGTATGCGTCAGCAACGCGTGGTTCAGTTGGATTACAAACGTACAAACAACCCGAGCTAGACATGTTCAAACACGTAAGGCAGTCACGCGTGCACAGCTTCGGTCATTATTGACCTGTTGGCCTCAAGGTCAAGCAAGATAAGTTGCTTGCTTGCGTTTGTAAACATGTGCTCGTCTACCATTTCTAGGTACACATCCCGATTAAAAACCGAGTAATCAAGCCTTAAGGCATGGCTCCTACCTCGTGTTCTTTGCTTTTCCACCCGCTTTCGGTGGAGGTCATTGTTGCTTTGATTGTGGTCGACAGGCTCAACCTTGTGAAAAATGAATCATCATTATCATCACAGCATGAA